GTCGTGTTATTTTCAGGTCAGAACTGATCCATCCTGCCGATATGAATTGACACCTCTAGTTTCCAAACTGGATTCTGGGTCAGAGGGAGATAGAAGGAGCCCTAAATTGAATTTCAGCTTACATGGAATAATGAAGTAACTCAAATAGATGTCAGGGGATAGGGAGAAAATGGTTAATCGTAAACCAAATGCCAAGATACAAAAAAAACAAAGGATGAACCTGGGGATAAAAGGGCTCGGCGGCGCCGTTGGCGATTCCGGTGATAATGGTGTCGAAAGTTCATCTTCCTTTCTGGATCAACAACAGGTAATTAATTTTATTTCAGACGTTCAGTATAATATGGAACTATGATGAATTTCTCACGCTTCTCCTGTTAACACATTAAACATCATTTTCTGGATTGTTTAGCTGCCAGTACTTTTGATATATATATCTTGATGTTAGGGTTTCCATTTCCTTCTTTCACCTCCTATACGATCAATGGAAACTTAATCGATTTGATTGGAAGTTTTTTTAATTAAACGATTTCCCTGTTTTCTTTACAGGACAGGGTCCTTTTTTTGGTTGTTTTCGTATGCTCAGGACACCAGGGAGCTGGACTGAGCATTTTCTCTGAGCACATTTTAATTTTTATTTTAAATCCAATTTCTAGCCAGATTAATGAAGGGGCCATTTGGTTGTGCGCGGTTTGATTGTGCAAATTTTATATAGAATACATGTGTAGTTCAAATGCATTGCAAATTAAACTGTATGTAAAATACTTGTATTGTTTGATTGGTCCTAAAAAAGTTATAGGATCTCGTGGGATCATTTTTATTTTTAAAAATTTTTTAAGTATATTTTTTACATGTTTTATTTTGAAAATAAATTAACTTGTTTTTAAAATTAATCAAATAACTTTTGCATGTTTTAAGTGTTTATAAAAACAACTACTATTGCTATTAGTTGCTAGCCCATTGGTTGCTTCTTGCTGCTGCGGCTAGGCCAAACATATTTTTATATTCAATCAACATAAAATATATAAATATATTTTAATATGCCCAATATGTTTTATTTCAAATCAAAATATAAATGAAAAAATAAAGAAAACAAAAAATAAGCAATCCCAAATGGTCCCTTATGAAATCATTTATTTAATGTTTAGATGGAAGTATGAATCTAAATGTTCATATTTATATATTTTTATAAATTTATATTTTGGAGCAGTCTATTATCTAATACGACAAATTGCAATTGGGTTTGTCACATGGCACCTGGGTATGCCAAAGAATTTATGTTCTAACATAGCTTAGTGATCCGAAGCTTAATCCTCAAGAAGATAAATAAACCATGAAAAAAGGAAAATATAAAATCAAATGCAATATATTTTGTTAATGAAATGAAAGATGAGGTTAAAGTGATAAACTTGGATTCAACTTGAATCATTCGAACAAAGTTACTAGATTCATGCGAAACAATCCCAAATTTCCCAATTAGGGGAATATCTCATTCGAATCAAGCAATATGAAGTAGGTAAATACTTGTGATAACAAACTATGATCTTGTCTGCTAGCTCTCTTCCATGCATCAGATCTCCTTATATGATTGAGAACACTCCGCCACCTCTTATAATTTTCATTCCTTTTTGAGAAAGGACCCCTTACATGGCAAGTACAACTCCATCTTCATACTCAATGTCACAAAGAAGGCATGAATGCCACGCATTGAGAACTTGGGTCATGTGATGTTAGGTGAGGGCACAATGGGATGTGACATTCCGGATGATAGAGGTCTTGAGGTTGGGAGTAGGGTGGCTTTGACTTAGTTTGAAATTCGCTCAAAGTGGCCATTAATTCCAAATTCATAAAAAAAAATAGAAGAACTATTGGAAGTTTTAAGTTTTATAGGGAAATAAGTTGGATTTATTTTATTTCCAACTTAACACTTGAAAACTTAAAACCTCAACATTTTTTTTATTCTACAATCGTGATACATAAAAAAAAAATACCCCCTAAATTCAGGCTAGATTTTGGATTAAGTAAATGACTTTAGATAAGAGATGAAAAAATATCAAAAACTTGAAGCTCTTATGATGCTTCGGATTAATTGAAATCTTTTAGTTGTTGTGGAAATTTATTTTAAGTCAATTTTGATTCTACAATGGCTCCCTAGTGATTTGATTTGATTCAACTTAAAATTTGTTTCAAACTGGTTTGAAATATAGTCTTTAGAGTTGATTGAAAATTAAATCAATTTTGAGTTGAGCTAAACTTGATAATTTCGAGTTGAGCTGAACTTGATATTTTCAAGTTGAGCTGAGCAAAATTTTTTTGAATTCGAGTTGTTATTAACCTTTGGCCATATTACCCATTCTTGTGATCAGTCAACAAAACGAAAAGGGCATGTTTGTTTTGAAGGTATTGGAGGGGATGTTAATGCATTTACTTGACAATTTTGTACTACGTGTTTGATTTTAATGCAGTTACTATTCAATTAGATTAGCCAAGTTCATGTCAACAAATACATTTCTTTTTATTTACAATTCCCTTCCCAAATTCAATGAAAATTTATAAGAAAATGTTATTAGGTCATTGCTGTGATTAATATGGTCTTCAGTCACAAGAAACACAAGTTTAATTTCTTATTTACTATACCATATGAAAACTAATTTGAATTTAGATCCTTATAATTTTCATATGCATTTTTCTTTTTTTATTACTCATTCAATTTCTTCAAAACAAATAAGAAACTATGAGTGCTATATTTTTTAAAGAATTAGGCAACAAGGAAAGAAATATTTGGGGCAGAAATTGTTAAGGAGATCATTTCCATTGTTGAAGGATCGTCTTTCAATGATTAGTCTTTAGGCTAGTTAGGCACTCTATAGTATTAGCTTCTTTTTGGACCAAGCCAAATCTAGTTCACTACCACTTTCAAATGTTACGCCTTTTGCACGAAGATCATTCTCTTGACCCATAATTCTTTTCATCATGTGGATTGGTGGGAGCTAGATGCCGTGAAGATAGTATGAATTTGTGGTTTCTGAAATGCTTGACTCATAAGATATGTTTCAAAGGTTACTGTAGTGATTAAGCATCAATTTGCAAGTAATGAATAACATGATTTACTCTTTGAATGCAAGTATTTTTAATGGTTCAAGGGATTAAATTCCCATTTGCGGTTGAGCAATATTGTTGTCTTTCTGAACAACTTATAAGAGCTATTTGATTAAGCAAATCGTTTAATCCTCAACTTAATTATTTTAAACTCCTTTAATTGCTTAATCACTTAATCCAAAATTTAATATAATTTAAAAAGATTTTATATATAATAGAGGGGATGAAGAGAATTGAGGTGAGATGCAGGCTTTGAAAGAGATCACAACCTGATAGCTGTTTGTTACCACCGTTAGAATTCTCTGCAATTATAAAATTATTTTAATTTTTTGAAAAATAAAAAATTCCGGAAAAGAATATAACCAAGAAGATTAGGAAAACAATAAATATTTTAAGAAAATGCAGAAAAAAATATCTTTAAAATTTAAAAGTTTCTGTAAATATCTTAGAAAAATTTAAAATAAGTTTAAAATCATTTAAATGCCTACAATATTTTTAGAGCTCTTTTGAGGTGCACTATTCTTTTTTTATTTCCATTAAATTTATAAAATACTAAAGTTTCTAGAAACTTTAAGTATGTATAACAATACTGGAAAAATTTGGATTGCTAGGATAAGGTTCTTTTCTTTTTGGAGGTAGAGTTAACTTGATATGTGACCTGATAGTTATTTGGAAAATAAAGGCATCTCTATAGCTTGATTTGATGAAGTCAATTATTTCATTGAGTACTTGAATTTGTAAAGCTGAATACAATCAATCATGCGATTCAATTTGGGTTTGTAGTTATTTTGAACTTGTTTAATGGACACTAGAGATCTGCCTCTGGTACGAAAACAATAGTTGCAAGAAAAAAAATTAAGAGACTAAAAATTTAAATACTTGTTGACATAGTTTGTGTTTGAAAAAGTTAACTACCCAAAGACTACGAAATACAATATGTTCTAAGTCTTGGATTCATGCCTCAGACAATATTAATAAGATTCACTTTCATAATTGAAATTCTACTCATGAACATATTTTGTTTCATAAATTTTTTGTCAATATGCTATTACTTCACCATTGTTTTAGAACATGATAAAATAAAAGATCATCGGGGCACCTCATAAAATAAATATTTCAAGTGATTGCCAATGAATGACAATGTTTAAAATTGTGTAATTGGTTATTGAGATATTTTTTAGTTCGTGAAATAAGCCACAAGCCTTAGGCTTTTGAGGCGTAAGCCTCAAAATTAGTAAATTATATAAAAAAAGAAGAATTGTAACCATCAAAGTATAAAGTAAGAAGCAACATTCTAACATTCTTAATTTTTTAACATATCAAAAAGTAACATACTAACATTATACTATATTAAGTTTTAACAAATCCCATAAAGGATAAAGTGACATTAACATTTTATCACCACGCATGAAGTAAAAAGTGTTATACGAACATCAAAGTAAGATGAAAAATAAAAGTAAGAGCTAATAACATAAATATTTAAAGTAAGTTTAAATTGAAGTAAGAACATAATAAGTTAACATTCATCATAGTTAGAATTTCTAAAATTAAAAGCCTTCATCACTAACTTGGTGAGCCTTCATTTGAATCATTGTTATAATGAATTGTTTCTTCCTTGTCATATCGCCGATTGTGTCATTTTTCTCCCAATTTTCATTCTTATATTTGATTAGTTGTCTTTCTACTCCTAATCAATAATAATTAACAAGATATTGATTAAAGTTTCAGAAGAATAACTATGTTGACCATTACAAGTTCAAATAATTAAATTTTTATAGATTCATTTTTTTAAAAAATTGATTGCTAGCTTGTCTTACGCTCATTTGTCTTCTCATATCCCCCACTGAAGAATTGAACATTGAGATTTTCTTGATACAAATCTGATGGTATAAATTCATTACCATTATTCACAAATCATTTATTATCCGATGACATTTCATTTTGAGTTAAGGGATTTTTGTTATCCTTTAAAGCTTTTTTTTTTTTCAAATTTCTAGCATTTAATTTCTTTTTACACATGATGTAAATTAAGGAATTTATTTGTATGGTAGTGAAGCAATCTCTCTTTTTGGTGTGAACTTGATAGTATATACTCCAATTTCATCCACAATCATATGACAAACTTACATGAACCAATTCTTTAATTGCATATCATTGTAGTTATGGAGTCCCTTCAACAAATCAAACCACCATTCACTATGCGAGGTGAGG